TACACCAAATATAAAACAAATCCTTTCATTCCGACAAAAGAAGTAGGATTTTAAAGAACAATTTGCTATGTTTCCCCTATTGGGCCCCGGCCCTCAGACCCCTGGGGGGCCAGACCCATGGTTTAAACAAAATAGGTTCCACTTGTCCCAAGGATGCTTCAGACCAAATATGGAACAAATACTTTCATTCCTACAGAAGAAGAAGGATATTAAAAAAATTGCTTTATTTTCCGTATTGGGCCCTGCCCCTCAGCCCCCAGTGGGGCCACACCCACCGTTTATACAAAATTGATTCCCCTTCACCCAAGAATGCTTCAGACCAAATATGGAACAAATCCTTTCATTCCTACAGAAGAAGATGGATTTTAAAGAATTTGCTATATTTCCCCTATTGGGCCCCGTCCCTCAGCCCCAAGGGGGGCCAGACCCATCATTTATACAAAATTGAGTCCCCTTGGCCTAACGATGCTCCAGACCAAATTTAGTCCAAATCTACTGGGCCGTTCAGAACAAGTAGCGTTTTAAAGGAAAAGTTGACGGACGGACGGACGAACGATGCGCCATGGCATAAGCTCACTTGCCCTTCGGGCAGGTGAGCTAATGATCAATGCCTCTAATAATATTTCTTAAGATTGTAAAAAGTTCTGTACTTTGTCACATTCCCAGATGATATGCATAATTATTTCCCTCCAAGTTGCAAAAAAACCCATAAAGGGTTATCAGTGAGACGAGCCTTATACAGGGCTCACCCTGGACGTAAAAAATCAGTAGCCAAAAAAGTAGCCATGTTTGAATTTCAGTAGCCAATTTTTTTTAAACAGTGGCCATACTTTCTCGGCCCCCAACCGTTACGGATAGGCCCTCCATTAAAATCATTAAATATTTAATATTTTTTGAAGTGCAATACTATTCAATATGATGTTAAATTAAAGAGAGAGAAATCAGCCTTTATCTCATTTTCTTGACACAGGAATTGTGAAAAAAACTAGCTTGAAAAGTTCAAATATGATATTAATCGCCTTTAATTCCGTGCCTTCAATCAAAAAATAAAACTAATATAATCCAAATCAAAAGTAGCCTCAGTGATGCAATATTGATAATTATTTTTCCTTTGTTTACATTCACCGTAATTCATGTTTTATGTAAAAAAAAATATATAAATATATTTAAAAAGATCACACATTTCAAATGTAAATGGCAGTAGAACACATTTGAAAGGAAAAGGACGAATTTATAACGGTATTGACCAACCCACAGGTAATAGACTCAACATATCCTATGCCTATATTCTAATATGTAATTAGTACAAATTAGAATATAGGCATAGGATATGTTGTGTCTATTACCTGTGGACCAACCCTTCGAATAAATCGGGAGCACATCACGTCGCGCAACTTGGCCATTGGCACCTATTAATACAAGCGACCGTCGAAGTAATTCTGAACGGTTTGCTGTTTTAAAAACTGCATAACTGGGATGCTAAATAACTTTTCTCGATCACTTGAAATTCTAAAACATCTAGCCACGAAGGTACACAGTCAGATACGATATAGGGCCTCTCGTTTGAAGTTATCTGAAAGGCCGAAAATCGGCACTTCGACATGGTGTTTCAAGGCGATACTTATACTTTCTAGTCAAGCATATCGGACGTATTTGTGCTTACTACGGTACTTGAAAAGGTAAATGAATACCATCTACACTAATTTAGATATACTGAACCCATAAATTTGTTGGATGCGGTGTTTGAACGAGTTTATCAGATCGGTTTACGGCGCCATCAAATGTACTTGTGCGAGACCACCTATGTGTGACTCGCTTATCAGACTGTTTTCTCAACGTCAATGGGTCATCCTATTAACTTGACCCCACTGTCCATTATTGTACAAGAATTATAACCCCTTTTGCCATCTGGAGCTTGATAATCGACTTTACAACTTAGACAAAAGCATTAATTAACTCGCAGTCGTACAGCGCGCGCTGATCTGTGACGACCCTGATTATGTTTACGCAATCAGTGTCAGCCACAATACACACGTGAGCTCGAGTAGACGGATCGTTTTCTACGACAAAGATACAGAGTTTCCCCATTTTTAAAAACTTAGTAGTCAATTTAGTAGCCACATCAAATTTTTAGTAGCCAATAAAAAATAAAAGTAGCCAATGGCTACTTTGGCTACCGACAGCGTGAGCCCTGCTTATATAAGTAAACATTTGTAGTTCAAATAAAATGTATGATTCTTACTTGCAACCGCTATAATGTAGATTTGGAAGTTACGCAAAAAGGAATCTGAAATATTTTCTTCCTTTTGTCATTTGACTGTAGAAAATTAACAAAGGACCCTAAATCTTTATAAGACCTTACTTGGGTACTTGTATACACAATTTTGGCATAGTACATGTAAGCAGGATATTCCGTGGACATAGTGACACAGCTGACTGGCTCAATAGGATGAATTAAAAATCTAGAGTTCCATCCAGTAGTAGCGGGAATGAATAGCATGTTCTTAACACATCAGACAATATCTGAAGGATAACAGACAAATAATAAGACTTTTTTTCTCTATTGTAAAACATATTTTCATGATGCATACACAACATTAAAATTATCTGTTGTATCCATTTGTTATCAAGAAGGGCTGCAAATAGCCTGAGTTTCCTTCACCTCATCCATTATATTTTAAACAGTTACAAAAGCCATTTTCTGTTACTGCTTTTGTGCCTTATTTACAGTTTTCACCCTCGAGTGTTTGATGAGGTGGTATTAAATGTATACTGAATGTAGGAGAAAACTTAAGTGTCCAGTCATGTTTTGGTGAAAGATGAGTGCAATAAATAATCACTTCACTATCTGACCACTGACAAAAAAATATATTTAAATATGTAAATACAAACCAAGGAAGTCAGTTCTAGTCTACAGCTTGAAGCCATAAAATCAAGTAGGGTGTTGATGCCATGAATGGCTAAGTTTCGACGCTGATATTCCTCCGGACATTCTGTTCCTGTCACAGGTCTACTCATAGACAGAGACACATCTAGAGCTATCACAGTTGGCATGTCTGCAAAAAAAAAGAGCTAATATATGCCCATCAAATGCCATATAGTGTTATATACTTTCTTACATTGAAATAAGATCTGCATCATTCTAAGAGTGGTTAGCTGACATGCTATAAAAAATGTAGAAGAAAATCTCCGGACAAAAAATCAAATACTGAAATGACTAAAGGGCAATAACTTTTGGAAAAATTGTTGAATCAAAATTCTTTTTAGGGATACACAACTTCATATCTTGATTATAATGTATACCAAGTTTCAAAGAGATCCGTTGGTAAATTTAGGAGGAGATTGCCGGACAAAACCAGAAATACACATTACAAAACAAGGCATCTATAAATAAACTATTCAACAACATCAACCCACATAAAGCAACAGGACCTGACAATATACACGGCAGAATACTTAAAGAATTCAGTGAAATCACAGCACCCATTCACACAAAAATCTTCACCCGCTCGCTCACTACAGGAACACTAGCTACCATCAGATTGGAAACAGGCAAACGTCAACCCAGTATACAAACAAGGAGACAAGTACAACCCAGCAAATTACAGACCAATATCACTAACCTGCATCACATGTAAACTCATGGAACACATCATAACAAGTGCCACAATGACACATCTGGAGAACAACAACATATTATATGACCTACAACACGGCTTTAGATCCTCCAGATCCTGTGAAACACAGCTCACCACCTTCGTACACGATCCCGCATCAAATAACAACGTGTACATCAACAAACAGACAGACATCATCATTATGAACTTTTCCAAAGCTTTCGACAAAGTCCCACACGAACGACTACAGTACAAACTCAAATATTACGGGATAACAGGGAACACACACGCATGGATTACAGACTTTTTCTCATTCCGCACCCAAACAGTAGTACATGAGGGCAAACAATCAGACATAATACAAGTAACCTCTGGGGTAACCTCTGGGGTCCCCTCAAGGAACCTGTTTGGGCCCCATGCATCCTCTTCCTCATCTACATCAATGACTTCCACGAATACATGAAATACAGTACACTTAAGACTATTTGCAAACGACAGCATCATATTCAAGACGATAAACAACAAAGAAGACACTTTAAAACTTCAACATGACCTTAATGCAGCAGGACAATGGGAGACGGACTGGCTAATGAGATTTCATCCTGACAAATGCAACATATTCAACATTGCACAGAAATGCAACAAAATACACCATGACTACAAACTCCACAACCACACATTACACCAAGTAGAATCCAGCAAATACTTATATATAAGGCTTAACATTACAAAATAACCTACGATGAGACAAACATATTAACAACATCATGGGCGGATTGGTCGAGTGGTTAACACTTCGGCCTTCCACGCAGGCGGCCGGGGTTCGATCCCTGAAGTTGTCAGACGCATGGAATATTGCAGAAAAAGTGTTTTTCTCCAGCCCACACAACTCCAACAACCCAGGTGGAGTATAAAATGGTCTGGGGTGGATGTTGCGGTATCTGTGATGTAGCATTCAAGTGAGGTGGCACTATAAAAGATGCCGTTGGAAGCACGTCCCACTACAAACAGAACACGATACATCTCCAGCATACACACATAATGAGATATTAGACAGGTGGCATAGGACTAGTAGTTAGCGCCTGATAAGGCAGCTCCTGCGAATTCCTCAAAAATTGTATATCCTTATTGTATTAATTGTATATCTATGTACTGTATAATGCACTTTAGAGTGGCTTATGTTAGCTAGATAGGGCGCTATATCAAATGTTGTATATTATTATTATTATTATCATCACAGTCAATGCCAATAGGTCCCTAGGTTTTCAAAAACGCAACTTAAAAATAAACTCACCACATATAACAGAACACACATACAAAGCACTAGTCAAACCAAAACTTGAATACTGCTCTTCCATTTCGGATCCACACAACACAAACCAAATTAAACAAATAGAAAAAACACAACGAAGAGCAGCACGCTACGTAAACAACATATACCACAACACCAGCTCAGTAAAAGACATGATCCACAAACTACAATGGCAAACACTACAAACACGGCGGTTTCACACAAGAATGATCCTTTTTTTTTTTTACAAAATTGTACACCAAATTGAAGCTATAAACCCAACATATATACTCACACCCTCGAAACCAGACATGCACACCCTCACACATTCAAACACATATCTGCTACAAAAGACACCTGCAAAAATATTTATTCTTTCCACACAAAATAAAACAATGCAATCTCCTTCCCTTTACACTTTTTCCTTTTTCTGCTCTTATTTATTTTATTTTATTTTTATTTAATTTTTACCCTTAAGGAAGCTAGCAGTTAGTCAAACCATTCTCCCATATTAGTACTACTTACACTTGTAGTCTATTTGGTTATTTGTTTATTGTGTGTGTGTGGATGTGAGTGTGTATGATTGTTTATTGTGTGTGTGTGTGGATGTGAGTGTGTATGATTGTTTATTGTGTGTGTGTGGATGTGAGCGTGTATGACTGTTTATTGTGTGTGTGTGAATTTGAGTGTGTATGATTGTTTATTGTGTGTTTGGTAATGTGAGTGTGTATGATTGTTTATTGTGTGTGTGTGGATGCGAGTGTGTATGACTGTTTATTGTGCGTGTGTGAATGTGAGTGTGTATGACTGTTTATTGTGTGTGTGTGTGGATGCGAGTGTGTATGACTGTTTATTGTGTGTGTGTGGATATGAGTGTGTATGACTGTTTATTGTGTGTGTGTAGATGTGTGTGTATGACTGTTTATTGTGTGTGTGGATGTGAGTGTGTATGATTGTTTATTGTGTGTGTGGATGTGAGTGTGTATGATTTTTTATTGTGTGTGTGTGTGGATGCGGGTGTGTATGACTGTTTATTGTGTGTGTGTGGATGTGAGTGTGTATGATTGTTTATTGTGCNACTGGAGCATTGATTGATAGAGACATCCTTTCTTTATATCACAATTTAGACACTATCAACAATGATTACTATTCTAATATTACTGTCAGGTGATGTACATCGTAACCCTGGACCGATAATTACAGATAAAAATATGACAAATAATATTTCAATACTACATTTAAATGTTAGATCTTTTCGTAATAAATTAGATTTAATTGATTCTGAATTCTCTGATATTGACATCCTTTGCATCACTGAAACTCACTTGAACAATACTATAGATGATGATGTTATTCTACTCAACCTCACTCACAATTATTTAGAGAAGATCGTAGCGATAGACTTGGAGGAGGAATCATTATTTATACCAAAAACAGTATTCATGCTGTTAGAAGATCTGATTTAGAACCAATTAATATGGTGCTGGAAATTACCACATCTAACATTTTTTTTTACTTTGCTGTTTATATTGACCACCTAACTGTCTAGTACAGGACTGGTCAAAATTTGACAACCTAATTGTAAATTTTGTGGATGCTAACTCTAATGTCATAATTACGGGTGACATAAATCAGGATATGCCACTTTTACCTAATAATTCACATCTTGCCAAAACCTTAAAGTTTCAATTAATTAATCTAATTAAATCTCCTACTCGGATAACTAATACTTCTTCTACCAGTATTGATGTGTTTTATATTAATAACATAGGTATAGTACAAAATACTGAACTTCTCTCTCCACTCTGTAGTGACCACTGTCCAATAATTTAAAATTTGTCTTTTAAAGTATTAAAAGAAAAGTCATTTAAACATACATTATACAAATTTGATGAAGCTAACTGGGATGAAATTAATTCAAATCTACTATCTGTTGATTGGGAAACAGTAATTGCTAACAATGATAATGTCGATGATTTTAACAGCATACTGATGGATAAAATATCAACCCAAGCTGAAATTCATATTCCTAAAAAATATAAGAATAAGACCTAATGATAAACCGTGGATGACACATTTGATATGTACTAATCTTAGGGAAAAAAATTGTCTTCATAAAATTGCAGTTAATAGTAACAAAGAGAATGATTGGTTTAAATTTAGATTAGCACGTAATAATTGTATAGATCTCATAAGAACAGCTAAAGTTAATTATTTAAATAAACTTCAAAATTCCTTATCTGATAAATCAATTCCTCCTGGTAAATGGTGGCGTATAGCTAAATCTATAAGTAACCTTTCCAATAAAAGTAAATCCTCACCTCCTCTAAAAGAAGGTAATAATATTTTAATTCATCCACTTGATAAAGCTGAAGCTTTAAATAATTTCTTTTCGTCTATATCTAATTCTGTCACAGATGATATCAATACTTCAAACCATGAATTTGACTTACCTCCCCTTAGTCACCTTAAATATGACAATATCATAATAACTGACCAGGATGTTCAGGACCAGATAGAATTAATTAATGTTAATAAACCCCCAGGACCTGATAATATTGCACCTAAATTAATAAAAAAATCTTTTACCCTCTCTAATATTACCTCTAAAAAATCTTTTCCAAAAAACTATTTCACAAGGTAGAATTCCACTAATATGATATCTGCTAATATTATTGCACTGTACAAAGGTAAAGGTTCCATGGAGACCCTAATAACTATAGACCAATAGCTGTTACTTCATGTTTTATTAAGATCTTAGAAAAAATGTATTTAAATATGTATTTAACCATGTACCTAAACATCACATAATTAGTAACCATCAATCTGGCTTCCAACCCAAGGACTCAACAGTCAATCAACTATTATGTATATATATGATACAATAATTAAAAACTTAGATCAAGGTAAAGATATTAGATTGGTTTTCTGTGATATTAGCAAAGCATTTGATAGAGTTTGGCATATATAAGGGATTATTGTATTAAATAAAAAAATATGGAATCTATGGAAATCTTTTTAATTGGTTTGAAAATTATTTATCAGACAGAAAACAACGGGTTATTTGAAGGTTACAGCTCTTACATTTCAGTATATCTATGCAGGTGTTCCACAAGGTTCAGTTCTTGGTCCTTTTCTTTTTCTCCTTTTTATAAATGACATAACCCATGAGATAAGCACAAATATAAAGTTGTTTGCTGATGATACCTCACTTTTTGTAATTGTTGAAGACGACATGATCGCTCCTTGTATTGCACTGAATGAAGATCTAGATTCTGTTAACGAATGGGCAAACAAGTGGAAAATTAAATTCAATCCCAATAAAACCATAGGACTAACAGTGTCTAGAAGGAATAGAAGGCACCCCCCCCTCTTTTCTTTGATAATAAATTATTAACTGACGAAATAAATCATAAACATTTAGGGTTACTTTTTAATTCTTAAGGTACATGGGGGGACCATATTCATGATATTTTTTAATAAAGCTTGTATTAGACTAAACATATTGAAGACCTGTGCTTGAGTATGGTGATATTATCTGGAATAACTATACCATATGAGAATCTAGTATGCTTGAATCTGTTCAAATTGAAGCTATGAAAATTATATCGGGGTTAAGAAGTACGTGGGACATATCTCATCGTAAACTATACCTTGAGGTAAATATGGAAACTTTAAGTTTAAGACGTCATAAACATAAATTAATTCTAATGTATAAGATAATAAACCACTTAACACCGACTATCTTTATAATATTATTGTACCTTTTATTAATAATGCTAATAACCCATATGGATTGAGGCATACTAGATTCTTTAATGTACCTCAATCTAGAACTCATATTTACAACACTAGTTTCTTTCCTGATACAATGAACTTATGGAACTTATTAGATTCTTCTATAACATCTGCTAATTCCCTTACTTCGTTCAAATACCAACTTAAAAACTATTTCAATAATCAAGTAGATAATATTTCCCTGATCTTTAAACAGTGCAATCCTAGGAATTTTAATATAATACTTTGTCAAATCAGGCATAAAGCAAGTGACTTAAACTTTGATAAATTTACTGATCACCTTATTCATGAGGGCAGTTGTTCTTGTGGAGCACCGCACGAAGGTGCTGATAATTTTTTCTTTTTTTTGGTCCTAATTATTCTGATTTCAGACTGGATTTTTATGAAATATATAATGTAGTAGGATTTATTAGTCTAAAATTACTTACATCAGGAGATAATGAGCCATCACCAGAAACTAATAATTATATATTATCTAAAGTTGAGAAATTTATTGATTTAACTAATAGATTCGCCTAACTCAAATTTGATTATAGTATATTTTCATTTAATACTTCCCGTTATATCAATCTGCTCTGTGAATGTGTGTGTGTGCGTGTGTGTTTAGAAGTATGTATGTTGCCAGTGACGCTGTACTTGTACCATAACATCAAAAATGAACTAGTCTTCTACATATACGCCACTGGTAGAAGTGTTAGCCTTGTTATTTATGTGTGTAGTTCAAACATTCAGCCATATAATTAATTCAAACATATATACATATTTTCCATATAAATGTCCATCTATTTCAATACGTAATTAATTATCGATAATTTTGTAAATATATCTTATTATTCTTTGTAAATGTACATATGTTGTACCGTTTCAGGAGAAGACTAATATAGGCACTGCCTGTTGTCTAACCTTTAGTAAATACAATCAAATTTGTTGAAACCAAAAAATCCCATAGCAACAGTACAATGCACAACACTAGAGGACTTCAAGGCACACATACCCCTTAATTATCACACGCTTAAACATACGCCAGCTTTTACCTTTTATCTATACCTTGCACAAAACACACCAAACTAATCACTGTAAATAACCCCTTTTTGCACGCCTCTGTGATAGGACCCCCGAGGGCATGATCGTCATTATATTGATGGAGCCCCGGGACCATAAGTAGAAGATCAGAATTACTTCCTTGACCCATATAAAATTTCAAGTAATTCCTATCCTACAAACATATACGTTTGCAAGGATCCAGTGTTATTCGGGAAGTTACCGCTAATATACACACGAAGGCACATTGCCAATTAATTTTATTCTATGGGTTTTTTCTCGGCAAATTTTCACCTGAAGGGCTCAGAAACGGGTCATCGGATTATTTGCAAACAAAGTAAACAAATGCTGCGACTGATCGAAATCCACAGCAAAAAAGCGTACTTAATAAACTGCTGAAGGATCGATAAAACAGGTCAACTCTGCAAAGTTAAAATTTGATTTTCTCATGCAACGTATAGGCACTGTCCATGTCGACAACCAAATGTTTCAGCCACTAGTGCTTCTCAAGCTTCCCGGCACATGTCGATTGAACGCCATCTTTAGGGTCAAGAGGTCAAATAAGAAATGTCACAGGAAATAAGCAATGGAAACCAGAATTTTTGCTTCAGTGTAAAAAGTTTGATTTGAAAAATTAAAATCGAAGAAATTTGTCTTCGTTGTTTAATTATAATTAATACTACACTTTGTCTCGGTGAAAATTTTGTAGAACTATATTTTTTTATTAAAAAACCGGAAGACAAAATTCATCCGCTTTAAAAGTGCCCTCTGGGCATGCGTACATCATTATTAGCATCAGCAGCAACCATGGCATCGTCTGATGAACTGTCACCAACGGAGTGCAATCAACGATACTAATTTATCTGGTGACGACAGCGCTGGATTCTCGTTTAATACGTAAGTTCGGCCAGTTGTTTATGTATTTCATACAAAATATTCTCGTTAATCTGTTGATAACACGAAAGTAGCACATGTTGCCATACTAAACAATGTAATTGGCTTACAAGTGCACTGTTGCGGTCAAATTGTTTTTGAATATTAATATTAGCTCTAGATGTTTTTGTATGTATTAACATCATGTTTATATTGTATGATATTCATGTTCAATTTTGGATTTTTCGAATTTATCTATTATTCATCGTTGTGAACAGCTGAAGTTGAGGTCAATATCTCTGAACAGGCGCATTGGCTAATCAACAAGTACTGTACTGTAGGCTTGTTAATAATTTGTGATAGGTGGAGATTAAGGTGTTTGGATCTGAAGTCAGTGAAGAGTGAAAAAAAGTGTCAGATTGATGTTGATATGTATGCTAAACATGTGTTAATTACCTGCCCAGCACCAATTTACCATCACACAACGGGTTAATTACTCTCCTGATTCAATGGTGTAAGTTAATTAGCATATAAAGTTGCATACCTACCAACAGACCACTGTCTAGCATGGTTCGAGTGGTGTTTTGATTCATTTCATATATTGATATTGTAGCAGAAGACACAATTGCATGGCCAGTCTAGATTCAAACCTGTGACCTTCCAAACTCTAAATGGACACTTATAGAACTACTGTACCAATCATTCTTAACAATTCCTTTTGAAATTTCTATGGCAGCGATTCTGTGTGCTTAAAATTAAAAAACAAAAATAAAACACCTTAGGGACCAAATGATCCTTAAAAATGACATATTTCAAGTTCTTTCAGATGAAATCGTTTCAGTGTAATGCTTAGAATGTAGGCATAGTTTAGCAAATTGACTATAGTTGGAAATATTCAATTTTAAGGGTAAGAAATCGGGAGTCACCCTCCGAAATAGAATTGGCAAGTTTTGATGACCAGTTGAGCTACCCATCAACCACAGATACAAGCCTCATCTGCCAATACACCTGTCATTGCACTTGTTACACACCCATGACCAAGACCAAATTCTGAATTATTCAAAAAGTCATTTACTTACACTGGAGCAATGTAATGGAATAATTTATATATTTTCAATATTAAAAATACGACCACAGTTTGTTCTTTCAAGAAACACCTTAGGCAGCATCTGCTATCTCTATATTTAAATGAGCAATGTTATTCACACAGGTAACTGTCAAAACTTAAAAAGTTTCTGTGAAGGTATTGTTACCTTGTACTTTGATGTAAAATTTTGTACATATTTACATATGCTCAATTATATTAAAACTGTATTCCTCAGGGAAAGAATGCTGTGTGTATGAATGAGCAAAGAGTTTATTTGTCAAATAGTTTGTTTACTGTTTTTATCTGTATAATAATTTGATATTATTCACGATGCGTTCGTTCAGATATAGACAATAGTGCATGTATCGTTTATCTAGTCAGCAGATTAGTCTGATTACCAACTATTCATAAACAATAGTAGCTTTCAGTAATCTTACATAATGTTTATTTGTTGTTCATGATTTTGTAGTTAGCATAATAATCTGTTTGAATGTCAGGTTCCATGTTTGTAAGATGTTTGAGAGGGCCATATGGAAGATTAGTCTTGTACTAAATATGTAACCCTCCTTAAATAAAGATAAAAAAAGCGGAAATAGCACGCGTAAATGCGAGTAAGGTACTGAGCGGATGTGATGTAATGTGTTGTAAACCTGTTTGTCCAGTACGTATTGTCTATGTATAGAATACCTAGTGTTGAATGTAGGGTAATTTACCTGGTGCACTGGTCACTTTGAACAGAGCGGCCAGAGCGAGCACAGCGAACATCTTATACTTACACCTATATCTTTACCTAACCAGCATAGGAATTAAAAGAGGTAGCGGGCACTAGAGCCAAAAGCAAATAACCTTACATTGAACGAGTAAGACTGAGGACTCGGCGGACTTTGTCCGAGAAAACCCTCTTCACATTGAAGAGGGTTTTTACTTACGTAATAAATTAACTGAGAAAAGAACCCAGGAGTTGTCGTATACATTTGTATCCAAGATAAAAGACGACTATTACATTATTATTATTATTATTATTATGGGTTACTTAAAGTCTGGGCCTCTTGCAATTGTTTTTAACATATATATTATACCCCCTGCAAAGAAGTTGGGGGGGATTATGTTGGAATCGGCTTGTCTGTCTGTAGAAAAAGATTGACCGGACAACTTATTCTAAAGTAATGGATGAATTTCAACGAAACTTTCCACATATGATATCTACCACCTGAAGTTGTGCATCCATGTATTATTAGCCCACCATCATCTGATGGTGGGCTATTCAAATCACCCTGCGTCTGTGATCCGTCATTCTTCATCCGTCGTCCGCCCTTTAACAATTCTTGTTATCGCTAATTCTCAGGAAGTACCAAAGAGATCTTTCTCAAATTTTTATATGTTGGGTTTCATTGGTCTTTAGTTGTGCATGTTTTCTTTTGAGACTGATAAACAAAATGGCTGACAGGCAGCCATCTTGGATTTGACAGTGAAGTTTTGTTATCGCTTTTTCTCAATACCAAGTACTGGAGATCTTTCCTAAATTTGACATGTAGGTTCCCCTCTGTCTGTTGTTGTGCTTGCTTTCTTTTGAGACTGATCGAATAAAAAAAATGGCCAACAGGCATGCAGCCATCTTGGATTTTGACAGTGAAGTTTTGTTATCGCTATTTCTCAAGAAGTATGTGAGGGATCATTCTCAAATTTTATAAGTAGGTTGCCCTTGGTACCTTGTTGTTCATGTTTCCTTTTGAGACTGATCAGATAAATATACAAAATGGCCGACAGGCAGCCATCTTGGAATTTGACAGTGAAGGTTTGTAATCGTTATTTCTCAATAAGGACTAGAGATCTTTCTCAAATTTGACATGTAGGTTTCCCTTGGTCTGTAGTTGTGCATGTTTTCTTATCAGACTGATCAGATAAACCAATCTTTGATTTTTACAGTTAAGGTTTGATCGTGTTCTTTCTCAAGTTTTATTTGTAGCTAGGTTGCCCTTGGTCCTGTATTGTTTGTGTTTACTTTTGAGACTTATTTCGATCAGATAAACTAATCTTTGATTTTTGACTTTGAAGGTTTGTTAGTGCTATTTTCAGGAATAAATTGAGGCATCTTTCTCAAATTTTATATGTAGGTTCCCCTTGATCCCTTGTTGTGCATGTTTGCTTTTGAGACTGATCATAAAAACAAAATAGCCGAAGGAAAAACTAAACAGATCTTTCTCATATTGCATTGATTGGTTCTATTTATTTCACATTAAGTTGTGAACAAGGTTTTGCGTGAACTTCATAATAACTGAGAAATCTTCTCATTTCCAATCTTTACAAGTACTGTACTAGTGTATTTGAAATGAAAATCGCCCTTTGAAGGTTGTCTTTTATACACAGCAGTATTAAGTTTAGAACAAAAGTTACCTCAAGGTGCATTTACTGTTAACATGACACGATCAAACAGATAAGAGTAAAGGAGAGAAAAGATCAAATGACAAAGAACTAATGAAGATGGTAAAATGGTGGGTGCCAAGATCCCTCTAGGATATCTTGTTCTTTATTCTGACCTTTTTTTTTTTACAAAGTTATTGCCCTGTGTTGAACAAATCCTGAAACCTTTTGTCAAGACAACTCCTTTTATTGCTATGAATCGATTTCAATGAATGTTTCCATAGTTGATAACTACCACCAGAAGTTGTGCATCTTGGTATTCTTTTTTTATTCTGACCATTTTTTTACAAAGTTGTGTCCCTTTCTTGATAAATCCTTGTCCGGACAATCCTCCAAAAGTGCAGGGCAAATTTCAACAAAAGTTTGCAGATATGATAACTAACACCTGATATTGTGCATCCAGGTACTATTTTTGCATTCTGACATTTTTTTATGGAGTTATTGCCCTTTGTTGAAAAATGCTTGCTGGGACAACTCCTCCAAGACTCCTAATCTACTGGGCCAATTTCAAAGTTTACAGATGTGGTATCTGCCCCCTGACATTGTGCATCCCAGTAGTACTTTTTCATTTGATAAATGACTCTGGGGATTGGTCTGTTTCTAGACCCAATAATGCCCGGGGAAATCCCTGTAAATGATGTAGATCATGTACATGTATATCTATCTATCTGCAGAATGTTTATTAATGTTGCACGTAACAGGTCACCAGAGCTTGTGTTCTTTGTTGGTATGACAGACAGTCCAACTATCCGTCTTCCAACTAGTCATGGTTCAATATTGACAGACATATAATGAACATGGGTCATGTATACTTTTCCATTGGCAACTCCTCCATAGAGACCATCGATTAAGGTAGTGTCCAATAGGTCAGGTAAACCAAAGCTGATTAGCTCCCAAAGTTTTACGCGCTGTGTTATAGGCTATTTACTTGCATTTAATTGTTCACTGAGTTCAAATAAGTTACACTATAGCTTGGTTACATACTTGCATTATGAATTAACTGAATACAATATTCAGGACTTGACAGCATTTGCATAAATCAATCAAGCTAGTAAGGTATTTGATCTGGAGTTCAGCTGCTAGCACTAGGAGTTCTGATTGATAGTGTTAATGAAATGTTGATAATCCATGTCTATAGGTGATTTACATACTTATAAGCTTTCATTTAAATCCTACAATACGAACAAGAAAATGTAAAGGGATTATCACAATTTATATTATATTGTATCAGTCATTGCCTGGTACACAACACATAGTACACAGAAGGTTTAGTCACTGTCGTCATACATGTATGTACTGGTGTGGGCAGATTTAGCATCGTGGGTGTATAGATTATTCTGGTTCACAGGAGTGTATTCTGTTCACAGGAGTTGTAATGGATGCATTATATTGTCCTGAATGTTATTGTTGGTAGAATTCTTCGTGAAAAACACAAGACTGATGAAACATTATTATGTGTACCTAAATTGGTAGAGTAAAGGGTAAGTTAGTAACATTTAATTTACATCTGCACCATCCATATATCTTTTTCTTTGAGTAAATGAGAATTATTACGCTTTGATTTTTCAGTGATGTTCTACACTGGGAGAAGAGAAACCATACAGCAATATACATACATGTATAAATAGTTCGGAATAAAGAATTCATGTCGACTACTTGGCTGCTTGTGAGTATAAAATTATCATCTTTACTTAACATAGATGATAGTGTATTTAAAATACTGTCTATACTTCTTCAATATTACAGGGTAAAAAACAATTGAATTGGACAAATAAGAGGAGGTGTCATGGTATATTTTGAAAACTTTATCAATTTCCAGAGACACAAAGATCTAGAAATCAGTGAGGTGGAAAGTATATGGCTCCAAATAAATCTTCCCTGCTCTAATCCTATCTTACTACATTGTATGTTCTGTATATAGATCTCCAAGTTATAACAGACTGGATTGATCATTTGGGGAAAGAGCTAATGCAAACCATTAAATTTGAAAAATAGTGAAAAGTATTGCAGGTGACCTGAACATAGATTGTTTGAAATTACCTCCACAAAGATGGTTACACTGTTTTGAATTATATAAGCTAGAGCAAGTTATATCTAAAACTACTAGAATCACAGAAACATTAACCCTTTCACCACCGTAGACCATATTGACTCATCCCGATAAAAGCATGGTAGAGTCCACAAAAGTTACCTAGGGGTGAAAGAGTTAATTGACCATATTTATACTAACAGACCTGATAATCTATATATTATAGATCTTTATTATTTAAGATGAAAGCACACTCATTGTGTAAAAATTAGTTCAGATCCTGTTGAAATACTAGTCGACATTCATTGACTACATCTCATGATTTTGCATATGTCTTCAACCCTGCACCAGGTGAGGTAAGTAGCAGTCAGGAAAAGGCTTATTGTTGATTCTCTCGCTTATATTCCACATCAATATAAGTCATTGGAATTCTAAATCTTCTCATACCATACACATATTATTTATGAAATGTTAAGACTTCAATTTTAACCACAGTTTTACCAAAACATTAGTGTAGCAGGATAACTAACGTATAGACTGATGGGAAACTGTGTATTCCCCAGTGTGGTAGATTACACTGTATATAAACAGGCAGTGCTGCCGATATGTGCTTATTGTGATATGTGTAATATATCCTGTCCTTGGTATTTGTTTGATATGGCTGCAACAGCAGAACATGTTATGTTATGCTGAATATTGTCTGTTTGCCCTTCTGTTTACAATTCACAATTTCTTATTCCTCCAGCATATTTGAACTTAGACACAATTTGAACAAATATGGGGGAAGGGAGACAATTCCTATATATATATACATTATGTGAACAGTTGATTAGAACCTTGTCTTATTCCTTGCCACTGAAATAAAAATGTATTTTCCCATCTCAATATGTTCAAGAAATATTTCAACTTTAATTTCCTGAATTATAAAGTAAGACTTTCTTTTTTATTATAACACATTTTCAAACGTTTTATTTTAAAAACAAAAATTCATCAGAAAGATTTTAATTATGTCAGTTTTGTATGGGACATACATGTTCTTCCCCAGTAGTGCTCCTGTTTAGTCCAGTGAGAGGTCTTCATAAGTTTATGTGGATTGAAAGAAAGTTTGGGAACTAACAGGAAAAATAACTAGATGAGAAAATTAGATTAATTACCAGTATCTTGTGCTTGTCAATCTTGCCCTTTATTAATGGTGAGAAAGCACAATTTGATTGATATGCTCAAGAAATTATTGATTTGCTTAAAGAAGCGAAAGAAAGTATTGATCTCATTTTGTAACATATTGCCTTCAGCTTCCATAGTTTGATCAATTTCAATGCATCAGGCATGCAAACATATATTGGAATGAATAGAAATCCATTGGAGCAGGATTGGCGGATTGAATATATGGCAGTTGATCAATATTTGTTAATAAATAATTCCAACACTATTTCACATCACAGCTTTTAAATATAACCTGTTTTATAGCGCAAAATTCGACATGCATTATTTATATTTAGCTAATAGTCATTTGCAAATTTATGGCAAAAACTAAGAAGTTCATCATTTCATCAACCTGGTTACTGCATTATTTTTAGCTCACCTGCCCGAAGGGCAAGTGAGCTTATGTCGTGGTGCGGCGTCCGCCCGTCCGTCCGTCCGTCCGTCCGTCCGTCCTCGTCCGTTAACCTTTCCTTTAAACAACTTCTTCTGAAGAACGGATAGGCCTAGAGTCATGATATTTGGCTGAAAGCTTTGTTGGTAGGAGCCCTACATAGTTTGAGAACGAAAATGACCTTGACCTACTTTAAAGGTCACAGGGGTCAAATATGTCAAAAACTTCAAACGACTTCTTCTGAAGAACTAAAAGGTATTGAATCTTCATATTTGGCTGATTTGTTCCTGGGATTGAGCCCAACAAAGTTTGAGAAAGAAAATTACCTTGACCTACTTTCAAGATCACAGGGGTCAAATGTGTCAAAAGCTTCAAATTAATTCTTCTAAAGAACTGAGAGGTATAGAATCTTTATATTTGATTGATGGCTTCCTGGGATAGAGCCCGGCAAAGTTTGAGGAAGAAAATTACCTTGACCTACTTTCAAGGTCACAGGGGTGAAATGTGTCAGACACTTCAAACGACTTCTTCTGAACAACTGAAAGGTATAGAATCTTTATATTTGGCTTGTAGCTTCCTAGGAAACAGCCCAACAAAGTTTGAGAATGAAAGTGACCTTGACCTACTTTCAAGGTCACAGTAATTAATGTTGGCTACATTCCAAATAGGAATTGTTTCCTCAATTTGATGAAAAAGACATATAAATAGAGAAATCTATGTAAGTATGGCACCCAACAAGGCTGTCTGTCTGTCTGTCTCATGCCTTTCTTAACCCTTAAGCTGCTACATTGATTTCTATGTAAACGGACACCACTGCTGAATTAATTATTGAAATTTATTTTAATTTACTTGATTTTTCAAATGTGCATAACTTGGAAAATATTTGTTATATGTGAAAAAAAGTTCTATGAAAGTTGTTCGTTGTTGTCTCTAGTTTATATTAACGTTTTCAATTCTAAAGTTGCTTCAGTATTTACCTGTACAGGTGGTAATAAAGGTAAGAAAATGTGAAACTTTTAATTAATCAGATTTAAGCAAGAGGAAGATCATTTTAAAATTATTTTCGTCTGTAAATGTGATTGGCAAATGATAACAANAGAAAATGTGAAACTTTTAATTAATCGGATTTAAGCAAGAGGAAGATCATTTTAAAATTATTTTCGTCCGCAAATGTGATTGGCAAATGATAACAGAGATTATAAACTTCATTTTTGACATAAGACGCTGTATATTTACACGGAGATTCTCAGGTAAAAAGGTCAGGTATTTCGTCAAGAATTGCATGTGATTTGCTACAGGTTTCAGGTCGCCATTCAATAAATTTACTGTCACAGTCGGCATATAGATATATCTTAGCTACGGTCTAGTTTATGATTAAGTCACCGATAAAAAGTTTGAAGAAATAAATCGGCTCAAAACGTATCAATGTCAATGTTCAATTCGGCCTCACCTGCAGACGACATGTGCGCCTCGGTCCGCCGATATTTTCCTGTTTGCGTAGAGCAAAAAGCCGTTTACTGGAAAGTTACATATTATGTAACACCGAAGTATTTCCACATCAACCATGCCAAACCCTTCAAAACCTTTATTATCATCGTAGGTGACGATGGAGAGTAAATGTTTACCATCATATGCATCGCTTCAATCTACATGTCCGCCATTTTTATGCCTTTTTTTTTTTATTTGAAATTCTCTCGCACACCTTTGGTTATTACTAGGGTACACTGCCGTGAATATCGAAAGTAATGACAAAACAACCAATCAGAAGCCTTCTAATATACGCGTTCGGGTTTGGTATAGCAACAACCCGACTTCACACTTCCTGGCTACCGATCAAAACCTACAGGATGAGAAATGACTATTGTTGTGCGTAGCACTGACGGCCCGACTTTTAAAAACGACTATTGTCGTGCGTAGCAGCCTAAGGGTTAATGGACATTTCTTGATCAAACTTGATACAAATGTTCCATACAAATAACGTTAAAATGTGTTCCTGTTTCAGAATTTTACATGTAATTTTAGTGGAGTCGGTATGGTCCATTGTTAATTTTTAATGCTAAAGCTTGTATGGGTGATAGCTTTATAAAAGAGCATTGTCAATCCTTGTTATGGAGACCTTTAAAACATGCTCCTTTTTTTCTTTACCATTTCATGGCTTTTTTATGCTGCATTTATCCACTATATCTGGACTGTGAGGTGGAGATTGGTATTGGAGCCCCTCAAAAATAACATCTTTCCGTTGCATCCTAAGTAAGATCTCTTGACATGTGTCAAAGGACTCTGTTATTACTGGAAAAAAATGCAAAGATTGGACTTTCTGTGATGACCCTCTTTTGAAAATATAAAAGAGAGTCATAGCGCGCGACGGCTTTTTTCGCAACAAATATAAGAAAAATAGATATTAAATTAGAACTTAAATATTTTAATGATGTAAAAGTTACATTCTACATTCATTGAACTGTTCTTTCAGCAGATCTAGCTGATCTGCATTCAAAATACCAAATTCAAAGCTGAAAAATAAAAAGATTTGTCAACAACACAACTTATAAAATTAATTCATAATGATATATATGATACTGTGTTTCCACAGGCATTTTTTATGTCAATTAAAATGGTCCTGACAATAACATGTCACATTCTGCTCATATAAAATACCATTTTGTTTCTGTCAATGAAAATGGTCCTGACAATAAGAAGTTGCAGCCTACTCATATAAAATATCAGTTTTATACGAGTGGGGTTTAAACTCTTATTGTTAGGATAATTTTGATTGACAAAAACAAGTCATCAAATGCCTGTGCGTGTTTTTGAATGTCTAAGTATCGTCATTTTTAGCACCAGATCAAACTGAAATATGGTGTTTACAAAGACTAGAGTGCAGAATGCAGCGTTTGGTCAACGACCGCGGGATTTTATACACTATAACTCATTTTCCTACGACATTTGATATGTGCACAATTATCTTTTCTTTTAGAATTTCGTGTAGTAGAACCTGCAAGTCGGGGGCCGCAAGTCTCGATAACGACTTCTTCCTTCAAGAAGA